AGGTATTCAGGTGACTCTTACCTTTTCCCCTGGCAGACGCTAACCCCAGAGGGTATTTTCAATTGCTCTGGCACTGTGAACCGGATCCAGTCCCCCTTCTGGGCTGGCTCTCGACTCCTCGGAGAAGGTGTGCTCCAAAAGTTCGTGGGATGCTGGGTGTGGTGGTGCACGCCTGTAATCCCAGCACTCTGGGGGACTGAGGCAGGAGATCAAAAGTTCCAGTTGAATCTGGGCAACTTAGTGAGACCCTGCCTCAAAATAAAAAATAAAAAGGGCTGGTGGGGTTGCAGCTCAGGGCAAAGACCTGTAGTGAATCCCCAGTACTACAAAAACAGACAGGCAGACACTTCCTAGAAGGAGTTAACATGGTTGTTTGTTTATTTAGAGATCTTGCATTCTGAAGATGTTCACATCCCATCCACACTCAGCTGATCCACTCCAAGGACCAGAGCCCAGGCAGGAAATCCTTTCACTCACATGTGTAAGGCTGCCGTTTGCCCCGTGGTCTCTTAGCTTCCAGTGTCAATGGCCAGAAGTCTGATGCCAGCCCTTTTTTTTTTTTTTTTAAATTTAAAAACATAGCTGTGAGCAGTGGCGCACGTCTGCAGTCCCAGTACTCGGGAGGCTGAGGCAGGAGGATCGCCATAAGTTTGAGGCCAGCCTGGACTGTACAGTAAGTTCAAGGCCAGCCCGAACTATACAGCGAGAGCCTGCCTCAAAAATAAATAAGTAAATGCAGAGTTTCAGAAACAAAATTATTATGACTTATTTAGAAAACGAACAAGCCTGATCTCCCTCCAGCCTTGCACCCTGCTTCTGGGAGACAATCTTCAGTCCCCCTGGTCTCCACGCTCGAGAACACCATCCTCACACCAGCCTCCATCACCTTCCAGCTGCAGACACCTCTGCCCTCCACGTGTGACAGAGGGCTCAGTTCCCTTCCATCCCCTCCACGCCCCCACCCTCCAGTGGGGCTGGACCGTGTGTTTGGCTAAACCCACGTCATCTACATGATGAGACAAGGTTTCACTACAAGACAAGGCTGGGCTTGGCAATCCTCCTGCCTCAGCCTCCTGGCTGCTGGGATCCTGGGTGAACGCCATCACATCTGGCCACCCTCCCCATTTCTGGCCTCCCTCTTTCCTTCTCTCAATATTTTTAGGATCTCCCCACCCTGGTGCGTTTCTATGTTACAACTGTGAGGGTCTAGATCTAAAATTCTCACCTGTGGGAATGTGGCTGGATAATGCCCGTGGATGGACTCACAGGTGAACTTGCTGCCAGGTGGGGCTGGCTGGATGGGGCTCCTGGACTCCGGCCCTCTCTCCTTGCTGCCTGCCTTGGGTTGCGCACCTGTCCCTCCACCAGGCTCCTCTGCCGTCCTGTTTCTGTCTCAAAGTTGGCGACCAACAGGTTGAAACTGAAAGCCAAAATAAACCTCTCTCTCCTCCCTTAAATGGTAAATGTCGGTTATTCCAGGGACGGAAAGTGACAAAGTCGACAACCATGTGCCTACTGTGGCCTTTGGCTGAGAGGCTCTTTCCATGGGGACCCTTGTGGCCGTAGCCTCAGCGAGCCTCTGGTGTTGTACCTTTGCTTTGTTTGTGGTGCTGGGGATGAAAGCCAGGTCCTCGCACACGATAGGCAAGCTCTTCACTGCTAAGCTACATCCTCAGCTCTCTTGGTTTTTATTTTATTTTTATTTTCTTAATTTTTAAATTTTTTTTGTTTTTGGTACCGGGGATTGAACTCGGGTCCTTGTGCTGGCGCAGCAGGCAGCAGAAACCGCTGAGCTAAATCCCTGGCCCTATTTTATTTTTATTTTGAGACAAGTTTTTGCTATATTGCCCAAGCTGGCCTTGAACTTGTGATCCCCCTGCCTCAGCCTCCAGAGTAGCTGGAATGACAAGGGTGCGGCTGTACCCAATCTGCAGGACTTTCCTCACCTTCATTTTACCTCATTAGATACAGGGCAAGAAACAGGAGCCTTAAGTGAATGCAGGGTATCCCAGGACGAGCACAGGGCCAGTGGTGACCCCTCCCTCGCACCACAGGCAGCGCATTTGGGGGCTATCTGGGAGGGGGGCCCCTGAGAAGTGGGGGTGTCTCCTTCTAGCTTGGCCTGATGGGAGTGGACACGAGCTCCAGCTGACCAGAGCCCTGGCTGCTGTTGTCCCCACCCAAAACGTTCCTGGGGTCCTCCTGGCCCAGCACCTGGGTCACAAGGCTGGGAGGGCTGTCAGTCCACCTTGCTTGAGGGCCTGGCCGCTGCCTCCTGATTTGCTTGCAGAGGTGCTGGGCCTTCCGGAGGCCAGGACAGAACTGTCCTTGCAGCCTTGGTGCTGGGCGGAGCTGGCGTGAGTGTGGCAGAGGGTGGGTGACAGGGACACTGCTCAGTGCAGGCTCAGGGACATCCTGCTCCCCAGGAGGGTGCCATCCTTGCTTTGATGCATGGCTGAGAGTGAGCCCGTCTTTCCTGGAGTGAGGATGAGGTGGGTACATTCTCAGGTGTGGCTCTAGAGTCGCCGGGGAGAGGGGCAACCTCGACAGCTGAGGGCCACCAGCTGGTAAGCATCAGGACAGAGGCACCAATTCCACGTGCAGGGCTTTTCTTCTTTTCGTTTTTATTTATTTTTCGAGGCAAGGTCTCCCTTTGTAGTTCAGGCTGGCCTCAAACTCTTGGAGATCCTCCTGCCTCAGCCTCCCCAGTGCTGGGATCACAGGTGTGCACCACCACGCCTGGCTCTCTACTCTTTTTTTTTTTTTGGTACCGGGGATCGAACTCCGGTCCTTGTGCACGCACAGCAGGCAGGGAAACCACTGAGCTAAATCCCTGGCCTCCTACTCTTCTTTTTTGAGATGGGGTCTCACTGTGTAGTTCAGGTTGGCCTTGAGCTCACTGTGTAGCCCAGGCTGGCCTCAGACTCATGGCAATTCTTCTGCCCCAGCTTCCGAGTACTGGGATTGCAGGTGCCGGCCTCCACACCCAGTTTAGGGCTTTTCTATTTAACCCTGCCTCCTCCTCCATCATTCATTCATTCATTCAACATGCCCAGACTCCACACCAAGTGGAGACTGCGTCAGCACTGGGCAAACAATGAACCTAATGGCCTGGCTGTGACCTTTGCTTACATCCCACTTCCCTCCGCCAGCTGGGGTCAGGGGACACCTCTGTCCCCTCCAGCACAGGTCACAGTGAAGCCCAGGGTCTTCGAGAATTACTGTGACTGCTGTTCTTCGGGCAGGAGGGCCCAGAGGGTTGGGGCAGCAGCCAGCAGAACCCACATTAACAATTAAGTTCCTACCACTCCGTTGCAGCCTCACTGCATGAAATATTCAGGAGCAGGGGGAGCCTGGTTTCGGATCTCCGATGGGGGTAGGTGGGGCCGGCAGGCGCTCTGCTGGGCGTAGACCTTGGGCTAGGATGGCACCCAAGGCCTGGTCCAGAGACATCTGACGAGGAAGGTTAGCTGCAGACAGGGCTCAGGACTGTGTGTGTCTGGGGCCAGGATTTATCAGCTAAGCTTCCCTTTAACAATCTTGTAAGCAGCACAAATCACGCTACATTGTATCTGTCCACTGGTGAAAGCAGCAGTTTGATAAATACAAACATTGCAACTGAGGAACCTACCTGTTCTCCTTCTCTGTCCCCCAATATAGTAGGTCCCTCCAGTATGCCACTGGTCCCGAGGTTCTCTCTTTTTTGAGACAGGTTTTCACTATGTAGTTCAGGTTGGGCTTGAACTTACTATGTAGCTACAGCTGGCCTCAAACTTGAGGTGATCCTCCTGCCTCAGCCTCCCAAGTGCTGGGATTACAGGCATGCAGCACCACATGGAGCTTATTTTTTAGTGTTTGAAACTGAAGAGAAGGGTGCTGCTTCCACACAAGGTAGAGGCCAGGGATGCTGGCAAACATCTTACACTGCATAGGACAGCCCCTCACCCTGAAAGACTGATTAGGTCCAAAATGTCCCATGCTGAGGCTGAGAAACTTGTGTACAGCTGTGGAGAGGACAAATCGCAGCTCCATGCGCTGACACATGGAGCAAAGCATGCTGCAAACCAACACGCCAAGCACGATACTATTTCAATACACTTTAAAAGTACACAAAATCCAACACTGTACCAAGTAAGGGGGAGACACGGGAGCAAGCAACACAGATCCTGGAGATTCTGGTGTCCATGGGCTCCGGGAGGGCTGGAGCAGGAGCCAGGATGGGTGGAGAGGGCCCCCAAAGCTGAGGCAGATTCCTCCAGCTGGGATGGGCTCCCTACTACCTGCTTTATTGCTGATCTTTGTAACACAAATTCCTGCATCATATGAATAATGGTTTTAAAGGCATCAAGGAGACAGCTTGTGCTGCAGAACTCCCATGACTCAGTTTCCCTGGCGTGTTGAGCCTCCCACCCTGGACGACTCTGGGATAACGGCTGTGTGATGGGTGCAGAGGCTGTGCCCGCTTGGTGCTGGCTTCCGGGCCTGACACTGCCATTCTCAGCTCTACATCTGGCCAGGTCTCTCCTCGGCACTCAGCCCTGCCCTGGCTCGCTGTGGCCTGGTTAAACTTGAGGAGTTAGGACAGCTGGGGAGAGGTCCTGTGGGCTTCAGCTTCACCACCACTTGCAGAAAAGCAGAGGCTGTAGGCTCGCCCTGTGAATCGCTGGTTCACAGGGTGCACAAACGAGAACACCCCCCAGGACCTGGGCCACCGCCCGAGCACTCCGCTGGTCCCAGCTTCAACACAGCATCCCCACCTGCAAATGCAGGAGCGAGGACATCTGATTACTGAACTCTGCCCTAGGGATTCCACAGACCCTCAAAGGAAGGGCCAGCCCAGTCTGCCAGTCCCCGGGTTTTCTGGGTGGCCCTTGTCTCGCTGGGCCTCTGTGTCGGCCTCTGGGAAGTGGGTGCAAACACCCTACTGTCCTGGTGCAGAGGATGGGGACGCTTTGGGAGAGGAGGCGTACCGAGACCAACTAATCAAGTCCCAGGAAGCGAGCAGTCGACACGGTGCTTTATTTATTTTTTCACAAAACTCTCCTCCGGCCAAACCAGAGTCCTTGGGCATCCACAAGTACCTGTACCCACACTTATTGATTTGGGCTTTGTGGAGACCAATAGGAACCCATGTCCGATCCAGAAGGGCGGGTGGCCCCTCCTCGTGGGGTTGCTACGGCACTGCAGTGAGGGCTGCTTTAGAATCCAGGTGCAGAGTGGGACGGGGTTGGTCATCATTGTGGTTGCTGTGGTTACCTCTCAGACTCCTACGGAAGGGACCATGCTACCAAAGTCAGGAAGCATCCTCCACCCAGCCCCACAGCCTGGCCCCTTCCTGACTCTTCAAGCCCAAGCACCTACCTGTGCTTCTCATGAATTCACCATTGCTCAGCCCTGGCCTTCCTCGTGCTGTCTCCTCCTCCGCCATCTGCCCAACAACCGCTCAGCCTTCAGGATGTGTGTCCCTCAGGCCACCACCCTCGGAGCCCCACAAGTTCCCACCATGATGAGTCCTGTGTGTGCGTGCTGTGGTACCCGCTGCCCGCCATGTGTTACATGTTACCCTGTCACGCTCTCTGTTTGGTAGAGCGATAAAGGAAAGTGACCATGGGCAAGCATTTGTTTCTGGGCCTCAGTTTCCTCAACTTGGAAGTGAGGGACTCAGACTTGGTCATGCATTGCATGGAGGGGCCAAACATTCCCTGGGTAAATACCAACTGGAGCCGAGTCAGGGGTCTGAGCTCAGGGCGAGGCCAGAGAGGATGAGAGAGGCCCGTCCCCCGCTGTGGCAGGACCATCTGCCTGCTCAGTGGGGTTGTGAGGCTGCCTCCCTGGTGCGATCCCACACTGCGGCGCATTCCAGCTGCTGTGGATTGCGTACTGGTTCTTAGCCCCAGCTACCTCTCTAAACAGACCCACACATCCCAGGAGATTTGGGGTGGTTAAGACCCACAGACACTTTCCCGGGCATCTTGAGAATCACTGTGTTGGTGCTCCATCATTTGGTTTTACCATTTCCATGCCAGAGTACAGCTCCTCATGACCAAGGGGTTGAAAAAGCAGTGCCACCTGACATCCGAGATCTAGGTTGTGCCTGACCACGAGTGTCCTGGGGATCGAAGTACCTCTGGTGGGACCTGAGGTCCGGGCACCCTCAGGGAGGACCCCTGTCTGGGATGTCCCTCTTGCTTCAGGATCCAGGTCAGCGCTGGGCCTCTCGTCTGCACATCTGTCCAGCTGGGGGGAGCAGGATCCTCCTTCAGCCCCTGGTAACCCCAGCACTAATATCTCATCTTGGCAGTACCAGGGGATATTAGCAAGCCCGGGGGGTCTCTTGGTCTGCAGTCTGTAGATGGGGTGAACAGACCTTGTCTGGAGGAGCCTTCATCCGGAGGACAGAGATGCAGGCCACAGGCATCACCTGGGGCTGTGGCTGAGGGGAGAGGGGCTCCCTGGGCAGCCTCCGTGTGCCTCCAAGGAGCGACTCCTATTTGCATCCACCACCCTCTCCCGAGTGCCCTCCAGGAGCAGGGCATGAGACACTGAATCAGGACCTCTTCGTGGGCCCCCAGCCTTAATCCACATTTGGGTGAAAGGGGAGCCAGGTCATGCTGCTTCCCTGCTAACCCAGCATCTGACTCGCCCAGGCGGCTGGCCTTCCTCCCAGTGGCCAAGCTAGGGCCTCTAGCTGCTCCTCTACAGGAATGCCCTTCCCCCTTACCTTTGTACTCGGGGCTCACATCTAAGGTCCCTGCTCCGAGTCCCACCCTAACCAGAGACTCAAGGCAGCTGACCATCACTTTCTGTGACAGCGGCCTGTCTCAATTCCCTGCACAGCACTTAGGCCGGTCTCAAGATTGTCTAGTTTGTTTATTTATCTCCTCCCCTCCTCCTTCCAGAACGCTAAGTACCCCCCAGAGGCCAGTGGCCTCTTGCCGGGTCGTGTCCGCTTCGGCCCCAGGCTGGAGCAGGCGCCAGGCACGCCGTTGTTCGAAGAAGGGTCGAGCAATTGCCAGCGGGGGATATCAGCGGCCGCGCGGGCGCGGGCGCGGGCGCGCGCTTCGGGCCGTGGGCAGCTCGCAGTCGCGCGCGCGGGTTTTCCTTTGCTTGCGCTCCTCGGCCAGCTCGCGGCACACGCGCGAATGCGCTTTGGGGACGCCAGGCTAACGACACTTACTGGCCGTGGGGGGGACCCGGTGCCCACCACGGCTGCCAGTGTGTGTGGGGAGCTCGGGCGCCCGGGACCTAGGGGTTTGCGCCCCGCGGATCTGATTCTCCTCCGATCCCGGGGATGTGGCGGTGCAGCGGAGCTCTGTGCCCGCGCCGGGCAAGGGGCAGGTCCCCAGCGCCCGCGCCCCATCGAGCTCGCTCCAGCCCGGCTCGCCAGGCCGGGCTCCCGGCGCGGGAGCCGGATGTGCAGTCCCGGACCAGGAGGGGAAGCGCAGCGTGGCCGCGCCCGGGCGGGGACTCCGGTGGAGAGGGGCGGAGGGGTCTGGCGGCGGGGAGAGGGACAAAGAGCGCCCAGCCCGACCCCGCGTCCGAGCCCTATTGTTCGTCGCGTCTCTGACTGCGCCGAACTCTGGTGTCCCCAGAAGGGAGCCGGAGCCGTCGCGCAGACCTGGGGCGTTTGTTTATTAGCAGCGAAAAGAGGGGGGAGGGAGACAGGGTCGGGAGGGGCTCCTACCCAGGCCCACGTCGCCTTTAAGGAGAGCCCAGCCCTACCTTGCCACCCCCGCCCCCCACAGCCCTACCTGCATTTTAAACGCGCCCTGGAGCCCTGGGATTGGCCGAGGCCGCGTCCTTCGGGCTCAGAAACTCGAACCGCCGCGAGGGGGTTGGGGCCTGGCCCGCAGACAGAACCATCGCGCTGCGCCCCCGCTCTACCCCGCCCCTTCCGCACACCCCCAGAGCCGCCCAATAGCACGCGTGGGGGGGCGGGACCGCGGCTGGAGCGCACCAGTGGTCGGGCCCCGGCGGGCGGGCGGGCGCACCGCGCGGGGGAGCCCCGGTGCCTCCGCCTCCGCCTCCGCGCGC